CTGTTTCAGAACACTGCTTACTCAGCAATTGTCTGAGTAACACTAACAGGCGGCGAACCAGCAGCATAGCACAGTCGGTCTACCAGCTGTCTGGATGGCATTGTAAGGGCAACCCTGGAGACTCCGGCCAAAAAGCCTAGCAGGGGAGGATCCAAGGCGTGAATAAAAGCTACAGGAAATACACGGAGGGACCGACCTAGCAGGGGAGGATCCAAAGAGAAGAAACTCTAAGGGTCTGCCTGCTAGGGCGCCAACTATATACTGGTCGTCCGTAACTGCCGGCGTAGGCGCAGAAAGCCTGAGCTGAGCGGCGTTGCAGGCTCTGTCCCAAGGTGATCGTTGGGAGGGTCTTGACGGATCAGTGATTGTGCGGGCGAAGGAGGCCGAGGACGAGGGTTGGGGTAGGTCGGAGCGTCCGAGGGGCGCCGGTCGGATGTGCCTCGGATGCGCTCGGATGGTCTGAAGGAGGCCGGGTGGGGGTTCCCCTGACAGGCATATGACTATGGTCAGGCCCAGTTTCAATGGGCCTTGAAGTTAACTTGAGCTTAGGTTGGACTTGCACCAACTCCAAGCCTCAAGACTGGTCTGGTGTGATGCGTGACATCAGGTATCAAAAGCTTTGGCTTGGGCTAGCACCGTCACGTGGGGGAGTTCAATGTTGAGTCGTGGTGATTATTTACTTGCTTGCTTGGTGTGTGTGGGGGGAGCTGGGGGAGGGAATACTGACCCATTTCGATCAATTCAGCGGGCCTGTGACCCGTGACCGTTTGGCCGAAATGTCCAGCCGGCCACAGGCCGAATTTCGCGTGACCTATTACCCGATTGGGAAGTTCGGCGCGCCGCAGGCTCGAAAAATTTCGAAATCTTCCCGATTAGGACAGTTTGGGACCAAAAGATTTGGCTGTGACCCGTGACCCGCCCAAAATATTTCGGCCAAAAAAATCCGATGTGACCGTGACCCGCCTAATTGAATGAAATAGGTCAGTATCCTACACTGATCTGGAAGTCGCAGGTATTGGCCCTTGTTGCGTCACTGCCTCCGCGTCTTCCGTCCACACTTAAAGGGCTCAGTGTGATGGGAAGGTCATCCCGGCAGTCCGCCGGACACAGTGATTGCGCCCGAACGCGAACCCAGCGGTGCCCGACCCCGACAGGCTGCTGGCGCAGTTGCGCTCACGCTGCCCGTCAATGCATCATATCATGATTGAGGTTCCGCTCCTGCAGCTGAGGTATTAGACCATGCCCATATGCACATCTCTTTGTAAAAATCCACGAGGCTCTTCAGTGCTGATCTCAGTGGATCACTGGGCATTGGAGTGAAGGAGACAGATGATGGTGTCCGACTAGGACACAGACAGGCTACGTGTGGAGCTAGCTCCGCCGCTGGTATCTTCGTCGCCGCACGGGGGACCATTGATGCATCCACACATTAATTTGGCAATTAAGCAGCTCAAGGCACATAAGGCGCTCTCCCGGGGCTAACGAACAGCGTCCCTGGCAGGAGACGAGATGCAGGACCCGGGACCAGTCCGGTGCCCCACCGGCGTCAACAAAGCGGTACGCAGGTGGGTCCCCATCCGCGGCGCACCTGCCGGCGGGCTGAGGAGTGCGCCGCGCCGCCCCGGGCGGCATGTCCGTGATCCCGCAGAACATGGGCCGCGGGGATAGATGCTTGAGGGTCGAATGCAGATGCAGTATGGTGGAACACACTGTCGGTTGATCAGTGCTTTCAGAAGACCGATAAGGTGGAAGAGCACACTGAGCATTGGAGAAGTATACAGTGCGGCTTCTCCGAGGTCAATCTGCTGCGCGCATCATTTGGAGGCGCTAATGGACAGCGTTGTTGCCCACGGGCTGCATCGCATGAATACCCGGTGCAGAGTGGAGGAATAAAGATAGCGCACTGCTTGCGCAAACAGCCCATGTCCGTGTTGTTGCTCCACCGCTCCAGAACATCTTGATGAAGACGCCAATGGCGTCAGGGCAGCTCGAACACGCCTCCGAGTTAGGATGCTCTTCAGCGGCGTCGTCGTCGAGTTGATGTCGATGCGCCGGTCGGCAGCTAAGATCGTCGTGGGGGAAGCTGGCGCGGCCGCAGCGATAGCATCCACGGCCCGGCCACAGTTGGGCATAAGCCAACCGCAGCGCGGCGGCCACCAATCCGCGCGGAATCGGGTAGCCTGGCAGGCGCCTGGTGTGATATTGTGTCAGGTGTGCGGATTATCCTCCATAGCGCTGAGGCGGATGGCAAGCAGCACCACGGGGGCACGATCGTCTCCGGATGGCCAGCGCGCAGACCCGTTAGCGTGAGCTTTCAAGTTGCGTCGGCGTTTGATTTGCCAAGTCCGGACCCACAGAGTCGGAATCGATGCGCCGGTGTAAGTCCTGTGTTAGCAATTTCGTCTCAGCGGAGAGTCTCAATACAGATTTAGACTCTCGAATAAGTTGGCATCCAGAGAAGGAGTTGTTGGGGCATGTGTATCGGCTAGTGTTGCGTAGATCTGCCCCTGAGGCTGGCATTTTGCATCGAGGCGAGTTAATTCGTGTCCTCGACAGTGCTGTTGCACACACGCTGCATAGTTATTAGTATAAATACCGGACCGGAGTGGAGGAACAAATCCGAAGATGACCACTCTCCAGCGGCAGGTCCATATGCTGGAAGATGATGATCATTGTCGATGTGCGCAAGATGGTGCTGACCGAGTTGGGCGTCAGGAAGCTGAGGTGGCTGCGCGGCGCGGGCATCAAAGGACTGCCAGTGGTTGGGCACAAGCCAAGGTCCAAGCTTGCAGCGCGGAGGAGAATCCAGTATGGCCCAGACCACATTTTGCATACCGCGGGCAGCGGTCCAAGTTCGGTTGGGAAATCCGAGGCAGTTGCTAGTATTCCTGCTCGGGTAGAGCATACGGTCGATTTGATGACTGGTGTCTGAAGACAGAGAATAAGCTAGGATAAGAGTGGGCTTGTAAAAAAGGTGCGCTCGGTCAGTGATGTCGGGAAAGCGAGGACAGCGTAACACGCCAGGCAAAGATCTCCAGCAGCACAGTGTCGCCACAGATTTAGACTCCCGGAGAAGTTGGCGACTGGAGAAGGGGTGGTTGGGCGCATGCGTATCGGTTAGTGTTGCCGTAGCATTGCGCCAGCTGGCGCCGCAGGTGTGCTGCAAAGGCTGGCATTGTGCGTCGAGATGGGCGTCAGGAACAAAAAGGGAGGCGATTGCGTAAGATGTGACTGGGCGATCACATCATGATTAGCTCCGCGCCGGGCACGCCGATTGGCTGGGCACACGTGTGCGCTGTCAATATGTGGCAGCGCTTTCCTCTCTTCACTTCCAGCTTGGCTGCAACTGGTCGCTCCATGTTTCCGAGCGAACTCTTTCACGAAGTGCTCAAAGATGTGTCGCCCGCCCAGCTCAAGCTCGTCGCTCTTGCTTCTCGTCGCCTGCGCCTGCTTGCCCGCCCATTCCTCTACAGCAAGCTTGCCGTGAAGCCATATGCGCCCCAGGAGGAGCGCATTGCCTGGTCAGGCGGCGCCATCCTTAAGCTCCCACCTGCTCATGAGGTGGTGGATGCCATCGCAAAACTGGCCTTCTTCATGTCCCCCGCCATTGCGCCGTATGTGCACTGCATCAATGTCGCCTGGGAGGAAGTGAATGGCTTCGCCGAAAAGAAGCAGAGACGCAGTATTCAACGATGTAGCCGGCACGCACACCATCTGTGACGTGCTATTCGCCGGCATCTCCAAGTTCGTTAACCTACGCAAATTCTATGGCCACAGTCTCATATTCACGCTCTCTGCGCTCGCCAACCTTGCGCAGGTCCGCGGCCCGATTGAGCTGGATCTCTTTGCCTGTTCTGTGGACTCCGAGATCCAGGCATTCCTTCGTGCCGCTATTAACGCACTCGACATCCGTATCCGTGTCTCAAGCGTCAAAGTCGCCACCTCGGCAGCATACAGTCCCACGTGCACGCTCTCAGAATGGTTCGCTCTTTGAGCCCATCACACTCTCCGCGGTCAGCCTGGACATGGATCAACCAGTGGAAGGGCTTACGAGTGTGCTACCTCACGTAAAACACCTGGCGCTTAGACTCTCCGAGGGCTGCGGCGGCGTTGCTAACCTACTCTGGCTGTGTGCAGCTGCAAGCGGCCTTTCCCGCAGTTGAGCAGCTTAGTGTCGAGGCGGCACTCTATGTGGACGATCCGGGGCTGCCGTGGGATGGCCCTAACGGCGGCGAACCGTTGTTTCCCGCTGTATTCAAGCTCACGACCACGTATGAAGCCAGTGAAGCTTTACCCCTCCTCCTGCGGATTGCACCGTCTATCCACACATTGCATGTCGAAAACGCTGATGCCACAAGCTTAGTGTCCGTGCTGCAGCGCAATAGGCAGTGCATCCCCGTGACAATCACGACACTCACCCTCGAATGCGACTCGGAGGACGGCGATCTTGCCGTGTGGGGCGCGGTCTTTGCACATTTTCCGCACCTGCATACCCTCGACTTCACCGTAACGATGCTGTCCGGACGCGTGCCCGCCGTAAGTGAATGTCTCCTAAGTGTCGTCATCCGAACTGTGCCCATACCCTACTCAATACTATCACAGCCTGCCGCCTTCCTCCTACGGGCTTCCCGGCTAGTCTTCCCTTGGGTTTGCAGCGGCTCGAAGTCAAGTACTCGGACACGAGTATGTTCTCTCGCCGTGGGCCCCGGAGCGGTTCCTCGTCCGACACCTTGGTGATGCAGACAGGACAAGTGCTACGGAGGCAGCTGCTTCGCCGTTGCCCCAATCTGAGCTGGATTTCGATACTTGCACCACCCTTCCATCTCAACCTCCAGTGGACAAAGGACGCATAATCATGATATAGACACATACGAATTGAGCACACCAGATCACAAAAGATATTCAATATTGATAAACGAGAGAATGAGTGGCATTTGTATTCTTCCTTACTTGAGCTGATCTTGTGGTCAAAGGAAAGATAGGGGTGATATTGCACCGAGTCAAAGGATGCCCTGATCCAGCGGCGGGCGACCATACGTCTCCTACACCAACATCATTAGTGCATTATCCACCTCATCATTGGATAGAGAAATACGCACCGGCTCCTGCGGGTGGTTACCCAACACAGCCTCGATCCGCGCCAACACCGCAGCATCCAGCTTGGGCAGGACCTCAAGCGCGCCGAGGTTCGCCTCGAGCTGTGCGACGGAGGACACGCCGAGGATGACTGTGGAAGTGTGGCGGTGCGCCGCAACCCACGCGAGCGCCAGCGCGGTTCCGCCCAGAGTTCAGCAAGTCGGGAGAAACGACGCACCCGCAGCAATTTGGCTGAGGAGACGCACTTTCCAAAGCAGCTCTTCGCCCTGGGGACCCTCCGTCGCCCCGCGAACATGGGCACGGTGGCGGCGCGCGTGCCGTCTGGGATGCCGTCGTTGTACTAGCAAAGTTAGTTTACGTGTTAGAGGGTTGAGGAGGATATACCTTCCCCGTCAGCAGTCCGCCCTGCAGTGCAGAGAATGCGGTTGTGCCCAGGCCGTACTTGGCGTACAAAGGGCTACAAAGTCAGCATTAGCTACTGCTGAAGTTTGATGGTTGCCCACGCACGCGTATTCCTTCTCCGGACGTTCGCGGTGGAACATGCTATCGTCTCCTCAGCATTATTTCGAAGGAAGAAAGAAGATGGCGCAGACTTGTGCTTGCACTGCTCTGCGATCGGCGCGATGAGGTTTAAGCGCGTGGCAACATCTGTGCTGCGGGTAAGCGACGGGAGGTCTCGGGAGAGGTACACGCTCACGATGCGCCTCCTCGATCTGGTGCGCTCCACCTGGAGGTGCCCCAGTAGAAAGCCTGCGTGTGAATCTTAGTGGATATGGATAGACAAAATCCACCACTCACCCAGCCCTGGTCGATAACATAGTTAAATGCGCGGACGATCTCCTCCATCGGAACTAGCCTGCGTCAGTTGACCTCCTTATGGCGAATGTAAGAAACCCACCGGTGGTATCGCAACGATGCGCGAAGATGACGTCGACATAGTCCATCTGGAGCCGTCGCAAACAAGCCTTCGTGCCCTCGATAACGCTGTTGCCAGTCAGAGTTGTAGGAAGGAAAGGAAGGTGGCGCACTGTTTGTGCGACAGCCCCGTGTCGTTCGGGCCCGTGCCTGGCTCGTGGCTCCAGAATATCTTGGTTGAGATGACGAGGTCCGTGCGGCGCCAGCCAAGTTCTTTGATAGCGTGTCCCCTGATTTTGCTGGAGTCAGAGAAAGCGTGGTCAGAAGGGAATCTCAGGGAACGCACATTTCGCGCTCAGCCGCACCTTTCTGGTAGTCCTCCGCGGTGTCGAACATGTTGATCCCATTCTCGAAGGCGGCCTGCATGATGTCCTTGACGCTCTCGCCGGCGACGGAGCCTCCGAGGGTGAGCCCTGTCGAGAGCTCAGCTAAAGCCAATGGGGAATGCGCAAAGACGGACAGCCGCCGAGAGAGAAGAGCGGCACGCGCAGACCGCTGGGGGCCCAACCGGCGGAAGGGCATCGCTTTTGCGTCGAAGACGGGGACTGGAGAGGACATGGGGGCAGGTGGAGAGGAGTGGAATGGGAATCGATTGCAGCGTCGGCGAACGGGCCGGTGGTGTCTGGAGGAAGGCGGAGCGCCGTCGGTGGGGGCAGTAGACCTATTAGTGAAATGAGCGATTGGCTCTGCGTGATGAGCAAGACATGGGTAACGCACCGTGAAAAACTTGAACACGCGTAGCGACTATCAGGACCCAGTTACGGGACGAAATAGCACACGCACCTTGTCCCCGCCGGTTGTGCCCTGCTGCTTGCCATCCGGGCCGTCCGCGGCTGATTTCACGCCGCTTGTTTCCGCCCAGTAGAGGCCGCCACCCTGGGTGTCAGACTCGCCAGCGAAAAGTGAGGGATTACTGGGGAGTAGATCAGCGAAATAGAGACTGAATGCACAACACGCACCTCAAGCCACGCCAAATCGACCGTCGCAGCCCATCCCTGCTCCTACCGCGCTGTGGCTCAAGCATAGCATTCGTGCCGCGCTCCGACCAGGGGCGGGACCGTCTCCCGCGCACATGGAAGGAGAAGACAAGGCGTGGCTGCTTACGTGGCACTGGCGATCGGCATCAGGTCCGGGCTCGGCGGCCGTGACATCAATCTCTGGTTTCTTTCCTCCGCTCCACGACGACGATGCGCTTGCACGACGATACCTGGCGCACCCTGCGGGCCACTCCGCGCACGAACGACAATCCGAGGCCCAATTTCTCTGGTGCATTTCTACTCCAGACATCGCCCTGCTCGTTCTCATAACTCGGGCCGGCAGTGCGTCCAGGACTATGGTCGAATGCCACTCCCCCGTGCTCGTCAGCTTTCTTGCTCCACCCGCTTGCGCCGCGCCGCCGCCCGCCGTTGCTAGCCGTTGCTGCGCTGCATCTACAAGTTTGCCACCCCCCACGGCTCTTCCTTCGCCTTAGAAATCCAGCCCTCGGGCCCGGTCCATATATCCCCTGGTGTGTGTGAAATAAAATTAGCTTATCTTAAGTTCTACTGGTCAAACCAAATATCCTCTTAAGTCTGGCTTGTGAACTTAAGTTCCCTCCTTATATTCTGATTTTCACTATATGTTGGCATGTATGTTGTATATAATGAATTTTCTCATATCAAAATAATAAATAAATAAAATAATAAATAAATAAAATAAAATAATAAATAAACAAATATATTCAAAAATCTTTATATGCACGGTGAATACCCATGTTATCCATCCATTTGAACACTGCCTCCCTAATGCCCAATTCGGGATATGAGATCATCAAAACTTGTTGCATGAATCCAATCATGATGTGCACCAGAGTCAGGGTGGCAAAAGATTACCCTAGCATTGTGTTGCAGCCTTTTGGACATGGCAGCCTGCATTCGGGCAAAAGTTACAGCCCCTGATGCCACACCATTCTGTGCCTCTGCACGGTTTGCAAGGCCCTCCCACACAGTAGCATCATGCCCAAAGCGCTCAATGACCCGCCAGAGCTCAGCATGCTTCCTTTCATACTGCTCTAGCCAGCGGTACATCTCAGCTTCAGCACGCAGGTACTGTACACGATCCGCTATTTTATTATTTAGTGACAAGATAAGTTAAGCATATTAACACACACCTTCTTGTTTATATTCAGCAACTTTAGAGTCATTGGAGATATGACCCTTTGTCCAACTATCCATCCAGATCCAACCATCACTTTTGGTTGCCTTTTTCATAGGTGACTTGTTCTTGTGTAACCTTTTTGGTGTTCTTCCCTGTGGTGGCCCAGGTGAATTTGTAGTGCCATTCTCTGCTGCTTCATCCTCATCACTGGTGTTGGGTAGGATGTCTTTGACACGTTTGGCAGGGCGAGGTGATTTCTGAGGACCTATAAATATTCAAAATAAATTTGAGTATGCTGAGAAATATTCCTACCAGATCGTTTGAGTGTCTTGGTCCCTGTGAGTAGCTGTGGCTCATCCTCAGAGTCACTAGCTCCATCTGAAAGCGGCTGAAGTAATGAAGAAATTGATTTTGAGGCAATCTTGGTTCCGCTTTGTAGATACCAAGCAGTACCATCAAAAAGACGTGAGTCTCCTTTTGCACGATGGAGATGTGTCTCTCCTTGCGCCGCGTATCACGTCGGCTGAGAGTCGGAAATGGTTGATCTGAGTCCTTCTTGATATGGTCCAGGTCCACCAACGCATCTCGAGCTCGGTTGTACGTGTTGATCTCGTGATCCTTGACAAGATGGCCTTTTTGCTCATTTCGTTGAGAGCGTGTAATGCCACCCTGTCCACGATAATCAAGCTCACGAGCCTTTTTCGTTGCTGACAATGCCAAAGAAGCAGCCTGTACTGCCAGAATGCCATTCTCCGCTTGACTGCACCTGAGCTTGATCTCAGCTGCCCGCAATGCCACATCATCCGGATCAGTGCTGGAAACCAAGCGCTGGTGATGCTTGATTCGCCAGGACGGGAGTTGAATCTCGGTCAACTCTGGTTCATCAATGTCAAGAGCGCTGAGTTGTAGACGTGGGTAAATTGCACGTTGGTGTTCCCAAATTGTCTCAGTGCCGTATTCAGAGTATCACGAACCCGCGTTATTGTGTCCCAGGTTTCTTGAAGTGGATGCTCACGATGACTTTTAAGCAACGCAATAATAAGCATTCTGTCTCTGTTCTCAGTAACAGCAACAGGACAAGAACCTAGTGATACGTACTGCTGTCGCTCAATATCAATCCCATCATGAATCCATCGAAGCTGCCGAGGGAGGCTCGTCTTCGCCAGTTGATCTTGAGGCTGATTTCAATCGTTCATCAGCCACCATACTTGACAAAACGTCCTCGATAGTTATTACTACAACCAGTCAGTGCCCAAATCAAAAGTAAGTCGGTTATTATGTACCTGCAGTAGACCTATGCTGATAAGCACTTTCCCATTCTCCAGTTCGTGATTTTTGTGGCAATCGAGAAAGCCGGGACCATTCACCAACCTCGTCTGCATGCTGACGAGCGAGATCCTCAGTTACTGCCATATGCAGTTCAAACAGCTGGAGCGCATCTAATCGTTCATCGGCAAGCAGTTTTGCTTGACGAAAAACTTTGGAGGTATTCCATGAATCGATAACCAAGTTGATGGTGTCGGTGGCGTGCGGCTCCCGTCATCTGACGGGTAGAGGATCCCAGGGGGTTTAAAAAGGCCCAGATCATCTCCCCCGTCTCTCCATGGAAATGAGCACGACAAGCAAAATAGACAGCCTGCCAAATGACGCGACAGTCGTGGCCATGCCCGTTGATGTGATCAGCGGGAATCTGCCCCCTCAACGGAGCTGAGTATGTCGTGGAGCGTATAATGTCCTGCGGGACGGGTACTAGGTGTGCCGATACGGTTGATTTCGTGTGCTTCACAGAACTGAGGAGACTGTGACAGACGCGCATATAGACAACACGCTTCCGTGTGAGAAGTGGACGCACTTGAAGGCACTGATAACTTGGAGGATTCCGATTCAATAGTTTACAGAATATTTTCCACTAGAAGGACTACCAATCATTGTCATATTTCCCTGGGGCGCCCGCTGAGCGACGCTCCGCAAGCATTTTATCCACGCGCTCCCAGAACCCCGCACTAGTCGCGCCGCCTGTCCACTCATCCTGCCACTCCGGCCAGCCGATCCCCTGGTGGACCAGGAGGCACGCAGGGGTGCTCTATGAGGCGTTCGTCGAGCGGCACCTTCCCAACGCGCTGGTAGGACAGGACGAATACATTCAACCGCCGATGTGGATCCGACAGCACGTCCAGCAACATGTCGAGCGGTGGGGCGTCCCTCTGCAGAATGTCGTGGTACCACTCCTTTGTATCGATGGCGAGATGCGTCAGCGCACGAAGCGCCAGAAGCGGCGGCCAGACTTGCGGCCAGCGGTGGTAGAACGACAGGTGGAGGTGTGTGATGCGGTGAGCGGGAGAGGTCGGGAGATGCGGTCATCATGTAGAGCGAGAGCAGGTTCGTGGTGAGCCGCCGGAGGTTGGGCAGAGTTCCGAGCACGTCTGCCGTGCTAAATATGAGACCACGCGGTAGAATGACAACATCTTGGAGGTGGGGGCAGGAGTTCAGAATACTGTTAGTCTCAGACGAGGAGAGCTCTCCGTCGAGACGCAGACCGGTCGACTGCGCGATGAATGCCTGCCGGCGGGGGTCTTCGATGAGCGCCCTGAAGGCAGACGGCGACAAGACTGGGAATGGTGTATTGAGAGTCGGACCAGCCTCCGGATCCCGAAGACTCAAGACGTTGTACAGCAGCGGCTCCACACTGGCGGCCACAGCTGGTCAGCGAGAGAAACGGACCAAAGTACGCATTGCCGGACGCACCACTCTTTCACCCACCACGCTACGCGCATCAACACTGGGATGCCCCGCGGCCGCTGCAGCGCCGCCTCGCGGAAGATGTGCAGCTCGATCTCGCGGGGAAGGGCGGGTCGTCCATGAGAGTGAGAAGCAAGATGCGGGGATGAGTCAGCTGGCGACCGCGGGAATCAATCAACTGGAAGCGCCAGTGTTCCGCAAAATGCTGTATAACATCGCTGCAAGTGCCTACCAGCGAAAGACGCGACGCCGATGCGGGACAACGCTGTTGGCAGCCAGATGCCAGCGCATAGTGGACGACGCAGAGGATCGGTCGAATAACGGCGACTGCACCATTCTTGGGGGAAAATTGGCAATATGTTGATTAGTAGTGCACGGATACAACAACGTCTATTACACTGACAATGGGTGAGCCCCAATTACTAGTATCAAGTGCACAACACACCTTGTCCCTCTGCACACGACAACCATGAGACCCGCCGAGACGGGTCAAGGAAGATAAAAAATTGTGCCACGACGACGGACAAATACGATGTACAAGGAGCCGCGTGCGCTGGCGCCCACCCGCCAGCCACATTTTATTTTTGAAGCGCCTGATCCCATGTCCATCCTGCCTCGAAAGCAGGCTGTTCCTTCCTCGACACCAGCGCGGGCCACCGAGGGCAGAATCGCAAGGTCGGCTCAGACCGTGTGGGGGAAAGTGGGCGGAAAAGAAGGGCGATGACCCGTGTTTGGCGGGCGGCGCACGGACCATGCTGATGCACGTGCACAGGGAGCCATCAAATTCATGTCCGTGGACACGTTGGCCGTGAAGGTTTTTGGGCACCATTGTAGTCCTTTGAGCGCAGAATGCTGCACTGTGTCCTCCGATACCCGACTGTATTAAGCTGGAGAAGGAGCTTGAGAGCAAGACCTGTCTTTCAAGTTGAGCGCAGTGGCTTGGCATCCCAGTCGGCTGTCACACGCTCAGTGACGCTCTCACGCGGCAACCATTTCTCTCCTAACAACCGTGTTGCCCAACGAGCTCCTCCTCGACGTCTTCCGACGAGCGTCAAGGGATGACCTGCACAATGTCGCCCGTGCATCGCGGCGCTTCTGCTCTTTGGCTCGCACACTCCTACTCACCAACCTCTCGTTCCTGCCCTATACCTTTGACGACGGAGCAAACGCAGCAGTTGGAGGATAAACTGGGACTGTTTGGGTCGAATAGCGTGGCGCCGTACGTCAAGTGCATCTCTGTCAACCTGCTTAGCTGCTACTCTGGGTATTCGTACAAATTCAGCGATGTCAGGTTCAGCGACGAGGACGAGATTCATTCTATGCTCCATAGCGTACTCACGACACTCCCCCGCTTCGGCAATCTTCGCTACTTCAAGGCTGAACAGATAGAATTCACGACCGCGGCGCTTGGTGCGCTCGCCCAGCTACAATCACTCGAGACATTGTTCCTCATCAACTGTGCAATCCCCCCCTTCTCTCGCCAGCTCTATGTTCCTCCAGAAAATATCCATCAGCAGCTTGATACTCGCCGACTGCAGCGAACCGAGCTCCTGGCTGAACCTTGTAGCCTCAGCGCGTTTGCGCGCTGCAGATACGATGGGAAGCAGCAGCGCCAAGTCTGGCATTACACTGCCAGGGCGGAATTGCCGTACTCCCGATATTCCTGAATACCACCCACCTCACAATTAGTATCAGAGGCTCGGAGACCAGTGAACTCGCCACCTTGCTCAACACCGCCTTTCCTAGGCTGGAGTCCCTGATACTCACGACCGACAACATTCCCTCCCCGGTAGCCCCTCCGGACCGCGATTTGCCATGCACATTCCGTACTTTGACACAGTTACAAGCCACGCTTGAGCTGGCATTGCTTATCCTTCCGCTGGCCAACATTGACAAGCTCACGCTACTGGGACCCGATACGCCAGCCCTGCTGCTCGCCCTTGCTGCCCTTCCTACGCGCGCACTTGGAGCAGTCACGGATCTGACGCTTGCAGTGCTAGAGGGGTGCGACACTAGCAGCAAGCTGGCATCCATAGCCAGCTACTTCCCTGCATTGGATCTTTTGAATGTCCACCTCGCATTTCACTATGGAGACGAATATGTACACTCGGTGGGTGCCTGCGATATCGACAAGTACAGTATGAGGGGTGACGAAATCAGTGGGACTGGGACTGGGCCACCCCAAACCAGTCCTACTGATCGAGTCCAATCCCACTGATCAGCCCTTAAGCAAGGGTGATCAGTGGGATTGATGCACTCGACGCATGCTTCCTATGACCTCGGGAATCAGCTCAGGATCAATTCACGAGCTGCGCAGCAGGCCTCCGCGGCAGCGTGGGGTCCGGGTGGAAAACCCCGGCCGCGCCCGTAACTACGTGATAAAAAGCTCCAGAGCACCTAGGAAAGTGAGAGAGGGGAGGAGGGAAGAGAAGAGTGCTCCCAGCAGCAGCGGGCCCTGCGGCGAGCAGAGGCCCCCGGCAGGGTGGGTCCAGGGCAAGGCCCTCGTCCTCTCTATCGTTAACGTTTTCTTGTTTGCTGAGGCTCTCCAAATCCCCGTTAGATCCAACGACAACTGGGAAGGGAGCCTAACCCGGGAGCATTGCGCTGCTCGGAACGCCGCATGTCCCACGACAACAACTCGGACTACGGAAGCACATTCGTAGAGCAGCTTTGAGCTGATTAATCTCACAAAACTATGGATTGCACGCGCTAATGTC